ATGTCTATTCCCTATTTATATTTTCGCGACTGTAGATGAGTCCGCCGAAAATTCGCATTTCTTTTAGTTTCTAGATGTTAAGCAATCTATGTATGGGTTTTTAATGAAATACCTTTAAATAAAGGGTTGTAAAAATGTTTATAAAAAGCTTTCTTTTGAAAATTTTTAGTAAGTTTATATTCATACGCTTATAAACAACTTTTTTTGAACTTTTATTATAAGTTTACACGTTTACGTTTATAAAATGCTTTCTTTTGAACATTTATTACAAGTTTATATTTCTACGCTTATAACCAATGTTCCTTTTCGATTATATTACGCTTACTTTCAAGCGTTTTATAAACAAAAAATCAACGTTTTGTAAGCTTAATGTTTATTTATATCGAAAACTTAAAAAAAACTTTCTTTAAGTTTATTTTGCTTGTTGGGACGTAACTAAATACGATCGAAATGTAGAATAGGTATAATCGTAAATTTCGAAGATTGATCGAAAGGAAACGGAACGCAGAATACCAAAGTTGCCAAACGGAGAAAATGCAAAATAGGGCTGATAATCTCACATGGGATATTTTTTTAATTTTGAACTTAAATTTAAGAAAACTCCATTCAGTGCTATAATTACGATTTGAGTTTTCCAGTTTATAGAAACAGAAGCGTTAATTATGTACTTAGCTATTGATATTCTTAATTAAGCATTGATATCATACTTAACTTACATGTTGTTCATAAATAACACATAATTTTATATTTTTATCTTCGAAATTAAACGCTGCACACAACCCAAAAGTACTCCTCGGGGCCCAATTGGTGAAAAATTGCGAAAAGGTTTATTACTGTATGTATATACTGTGATACAAACATAATCAAATCGTCGCTTAGCATGCAATACCGCGTATACGCAAAATGTAATACCGCGTATATGAGTCCGAAAATTTCACAAAAGTGCAAATAAACTTATTTTCCTCTAAACTTATGGTTGGTTTTCTAACTGAACTTATTAAATATGAGCTGCTACTAAAATTATTGACCATTAAATTTGTGAAGTAGGCCAGCACTCTAAAACAGGGTACCGAAGATAATTTTTTTTCTCACCCACCTCATACGCGGTATTGCATTTTGCGTATACGCGGTATTGTACGCCAAGCGACGAAATATCGAAATTCAGCACGCGTACTAAACCCCGTCTCATTGCCCAGTTCGTTGGCGGGTTCACTTTAACATAACACAAACAATAAGCGACTTGCATTTGAACATATGAACATACGTACATACACATTATGCTTCTTGCTGCACTCAGCATTCTTCGCGTGGGAGCCAATGTGTATATAATATAATTTAGAAATAAATAAATTTTGTAGGTGACAGACTCGAGTCGGTGCAGAAACAATTCTTATTTACTCCATTAAATAATTTGCCTTGGGATTCGACATTAAATCTCCCACCGAACAAAAGCTCATAAATTTGCCAGCGCGGCACAGCCGTAGAGAGATGCTCGGGGTTTTGTTCATGATTAAGATCTTGAACGGGATGGTCAATAGTCCCTTTCTACTGAACCAGATCACGTTTTGTATTCCTTCTAGGCCTTCTAGACATTACAAGCCCATTAAGCTAATTATTTGTAGAACAAATTTGGAAATCACGGTGGACCTGAACCAACTTTAAACCGAAGGTCATAGCACATCATTTTTTTTTTGCTAATTAATTATGTTATGAATAACTTGTAAAAATTTTATAGCCCATAACTTATCGAGCCGTTTTTGAAAAAACTCATTTTAAATGAAAATTATTCCTTTTCTTTTAAAATTTTCACGCACCCGCTCTAGATGACAAATTGATACCTTACAGTTTATATTTATTTTGTAATGTAACTTGTACGATTTATATACAATCAAGTTAGTATATGCTTTAAATGTCTTAGCTTGTTTTATGCACAAAATGCCGATAAATTCAATTCAACGAGAACGAGAAGATTGTGCGCGCACAACATTTGTTCTTTTTAAGTTTCGAATATAAGTATTCTTTATACTTGCAATCAGTGTTGCCAACTCCAAAGGTAAGAAAATCTCATTCTCCTTAGAAAAACGCCCTGTTTATCCCATTTTAAAATTCGAAAATCCCATTTATGAATATTAAATATTAAAAGTCTTTAAGAACAATATATATAAAGAGTAGATACAGTGATACGTGTTGATTTTTTTTAAATATTCGTAAGGTTTATCGAGATAATTTTTTTTGGTATTTTTCTATAAAAATACCGTCCAAGGTTTAACCGAAATCATATCACAGATTAACACTTTATACAAAATTTACGAAAACTCATCAAATTTTCTAATGGCCTTATTCATAAAAAATAAAATAGGTTTAAAGAGCTTTTTTATTAAAATTTTCGATTTATAAAGCAGTTAAAATGTTCTTTATTTTCTATGAATTTGGGTGCAAATCTTTAAAACATTTTTGGGTATGCAGTTTTATAGCCCCAACAAATTTAGTGTAATGAAGTGCAAGTTTCAAACGGCTTTAATATGAAATTCATGCTTTTATGGGAAAAAGTGCAAAAATCCTATGTGTCTTCAATAGTGACTCGATCCACCAGTCACAAAATACTGTCACGCCCGTCACAAGCTAAAAGTTTTTTTTTTCAAATATAATAATGCCATAAGAGCATAAAATGGACCCTATCATTATACTAACTACATTCGAGAAAGCCGCCATGCAAGAAATATTTTGATATAAATTTGTCTAAAATGGGAAACGAATCCATCCACTCAGAGAAGTGGGTGTCGTCGTTGTCTCAGCCGTCACTCTTGGAGAAAATGAAAATTTTCTGTGTAAATCATATACAGTATCGGTCATATCTATAGCACGCCATTTCAAAGTGATATTGTGTGCAACTTATGTTTATTTATTTATTTTTAAGAATTTTCAATTAAAATACAGTTCTTTCTCTAACAAACCCCATGTAAACCCAAGTTTAACAATTGGTAGAAAACTTCAAAAAAGTGCAACAAATTTTCACCTAAGTTTCAAACTTTTTTCTCGGAAGTGTTAGAATTTTTTTGAGTACACAGTTTTTAGCCCCTGCAATTTTAGTCTGATAATGTGCAAATATATGGATGAAAACCGCAACACCTTTGGCGAAAAAAATTCTAAAAAATCAATGGTAACTTTTACCCACTTGAAACTTGCACTTTCCCATTTTTGAGTTACTTCCGTCTGAGACTTTCCGTCAGTTTTCATAGAAAATTCAAATAAAAAATAATTTGTCTGTAAATTGCTGGCGAAACTGGCTGTTAATAAAATAAAATACACGTACAAATACGTACATATATTAAAAATAAAATAAGAACAACTCCATTATAAATCCTGTGCGATCCATATTTTTGGCTTAATATTTTTTTATTTTTGTGCCGATTTATTTAATTTTGCTTGTTTACAAATGTTTTGGCAGTTTATGTATCATTCGACAATCATCACAAACTACACTAGGAAGACGTGGTTGGACCATATTCATCGTAGTTGACAATGCGTTTAATTTTTTCTTTTAATGCTCCCAAAATGTTTGCCATTTTATTTTTCTTTTTCAGGCAAAATAAACACATTGGGCGCGTTTCTAGGACGTAACTGTTGAACTCAACAGTTGACAGCATTTCAGCAACGTTGAGGTAAACAGTTGCGTCTTATGCAGCGTTTTAGCTGCATTTAAAATGCAACATTTAGCACTTTCGAACATATTTTTTCGAAGAACGTTCATGCTATCGCATTTAGCAAATGTACATTTACGCGAGTTCGAAACCGTATGCTTTTGACAAACGGCCGTGTTCCTGTCGCTTATTCAGATCCGTATCTATCACGATCAATTCGCACAGAGAAGATAATGTGCAAAAAACCCTACTGAAAAGGGAAAAAGAAATTGTAAATAAAAAGTTCAATACAAAAACTTGAATTGTTTTAACCATACCCGAAAATTTGTTTGTGTATATTTTCATTTGTCGGTGCTATCAATTGAAATATCCTCAATTAAATAGGAAAAAAACCCAGAGTTGATCACTAATTGAGCCGGATATCTATCAGTTTCATATCGATGTTGAATTCGAATTCGAATTTTCTTTTTCCAAATAATGTAAAATAATAAATTAAATCTCGATCCGCGATCACTGAAACGCAGCTAGCAACTGCATACGCGAAAAAGCAATGTTGCCACATTTTCTCATTAAACCATGTTCGAATCGTGGAAATTTTGGAAGATCACAGGGTTGCTTTTAGCATTTAGATTCTTAATGCAAAAATGGAGTTGCATTTAGTTGCATTTAGGTGACGAATTTTGTATGGATAAATGTACATTTAGAGTAGCATTTAGAGCTAAATGCGCTAAATGTGCTTTTACGCGTAAGCAAAAACAGCCCATTAGAAACCCGCCCAATGTGTTTATTTTGCCTGAAAAAGAAAAATAAAATGGCAAACATTTTGGGAGCATTAAAAGAAAAAATTAAACACATTGTCAACTACGATGAATATGATCCACCCACGTCTTCCTAGTGTAGTTTGTGATGGTTGTCGAATTTTAGTTTATCGTGAAGTGAAAAAGGAATCAAATTTAATTACTATGAAATTACCTAATTATTCAAAATTTAAAGCAATGAATTTTTACACAAGGTCAAAAATTAACAAAAAATGTGAGTGTGGTTTGTGTGAGTGAAGTAGAAAACCAGGCCATACAACTTTTTCAAAAGAAACTTTTAGTGTTATGAACGACAAATTGAAAAAGTGCAGTAAATGTCGATCGCATTTGTTTGTTGGCAAACCTCATTTTTGTAAGAAATCCGTAGATGATTTAGTTACACATGAAGAACTTTCAATGAAACAAAAAGAGCAAGTGGTTGGTAAATTAATAAAAAATATTTTTAATTCTGAACCTCAATCCCAGGACAGTAACGCTAATGTGTTATCAATATCTCAAAGTCGTGGGTGGCCATTAAGAGTGGCACTGAACCCATCGCAAAATAAGGAACAAAAGCCTATTTCTGCTGAAGAAGTATCTAAAATAGGATTAGGTCTTGGAATTTCATCAAACAAAGTGGAAACAATGACATCTGCCTTCAAAGTTGCTACTAAGAATAGGAAAATGTTTGAATCAAATTTGAATCAAAAGCTTAAAAATATAAATCATTCGCTAGATTCCTATTTTGATGTCCGAAAATGTAATGTGGTGAAAAATGGTAAAAAAAGAACGAAAAGGGATTTGAAAGAATAGCATTCGAAGCTAGGTATTGACAGCGGAGGAGGATTCTTAAAAATGTGTCTATCTATCCAATCTACTGATGGTGTAGTCAGAAAACGATTTAACTCAATCCGAAGATGCATTTTTACTGGTTAAGCGACAGAGATATTGTGATAAAAAATTTGTTGCTTGCAATTATTGCAAATACTTCAGAAAATTATGAAAATGTGTCTACGTTATGGTCATTACTGCGGATTGAAAATTTACCAGGAACTATTGCTACTGATTTAAAGCTTGCAAATATAATGACAGGAATTATATCCCACGCAAGTATCTATCCTTGTACATGGTGCACATCATCTTCAGATCATTTAGAAGAATGTGCAGAACTAAGAACAATCGGCAGCAACAGAGAAAATTATCGTACCTGGCAAGAAAAAGGAGTTTAAAAACTGCACAAACAACCCGATATTTTCTGCAAAAGATGATACTAAAATTTTGGAGATTATACCGCCACCTGAACTGCATCTGCTAATCGGTCCCTGCGGGGAAAGCTACTAGTTGTGAACTAGAATTCTACTAGTTTGCGTTTCAGCCCAACTAGTTCACGTTCTATCCTTTTTCAATGTTAGCGACTGGTATTTTTAACATTGCGATGTCATACGAGACGTCAATTGTCAGGCTATGCATCAGCATCTACTAGTAGAAATACTAGTAGCATAATACAAGTTGATGAGATAGTCTGCCAATTCATCCCCCGTGAAAATCATAAGTATGCCCTTATTGCTCGCGGTGCTCCAGCCGCCGCAATGGCCGACAGAGCAAAGCACTCGCGTGGTATGCCGAGGTCCCAGGTTAAATACTGGTGCAGGGAAAATTTTTTAATTTTATTTTTTTTTTAATTTATTTTTTTCTGTAATTAATTTTTTTATTTATGGTTTTTATTGTAATTTCTAAATTTAATTGAAGAAAAAATATTTTTTTAATGTCTTTTTTTCATGGCACAAAGCATTTCTTCTTTTTCTGCAATTCAATTATATTTTCAAATTTTATATGTAGTCTTCACATGACGCCACAGCCGACATTTGTAAGAAAAGCAATTAATTGCGTTTTATTTTTGGCTTTGGCAATCCAAAGGCAGATGTCGCTGAACGCCGTTCTTCGAAACGGTCGGACTGGTAGGCACATACTAGTTAATGAACTTGTATTTTTCCTAACTGGTTTGGCTTTTCACTGCAGGGGAGTTGTAAATTCTCTTCATAACAGAATGTGTCTAGAATTTGAAGATGTCAGTTCTCAATGGGAGAAAAGAAGCAACGTTACTCGCGAATTTACACATGGCTCTCAGGCATTTGCGGGAAATTCATGCAAAATCCTATTAGAGAAGACAGATTTATCGCGGCAAATGTGCAGTATCAATTGTTTAAAATATGTACAGTGTTTTGATGATTTAAAACTGTTGTGAAGTCGTTGTTGTTGTTGTTGTAGCGGCTACAACAACCCCGCCCAGATCGGTTGATCGGTCCAGGGTTTGACTCAATGCCAGTCCTGAGCAGAAGTATGCGAAGAAGAAGTAGCCCTATGGACGTACAACTTTTGAGGGATTTCGCCGACCTAAACGGGGTTAGATCGCCGAAACAACAGCCCTTGGCCGGGTAAAACCCGAGTCATTCCGGTACGTAGAATCGGCTGTCGTGGGAATGCTAACCGGTATGTGTTTTTGGCCGCTGTAGCCAAAGGGTTATATACAACTTTCTACAAGGAACGCGACGAAATGCCAAATGAAATGTGAAATGTCATAACTGGGCACTTGGTAAATCACCTGAAATCTTTGTCAGATTATTTTTCGGATGGTAGTAGTAATACCGGTTTGGTTCAAAATCCATTTACGAACCATTAATAGATCTCCAGAATATTTCGCCATTGTAACACACATTTTAATCTGTGTCTCTGAAAGAGTTTTGGGTTAGTGTTAAGAGTAAATATCATAAAGTCGCTAAAAGGGCTATCTTGACTTTGCTTCCTTCTGTCACAACGTACTCTCTCAACAAGGGTTTCAGCTTACACTCAAACAAAAAACAGATTCAGGTCGAAATTGGATGATACCCCAGAAATGCGCATACAGCTTTCAGACATTATATCGAACTGCTATTTTATACAATAAATACTAAAGAGCGAAATACACCACACAAGCGGCTTGTCAAACATTCTTCAAACCTACTTTTCCCATTTCGCCATACACCATGCAAACATGACTCGTTCAAGCAAAGAATTTTAGTTTTCTTCCAGTTCGCAATGCTAAATATTATGGTTTTCTTTCATTTTCCTCTCTTACGTCCTTACTCGGTGAAAATTTCGTTGCGAATGAGGCGATTTTGCTATACACAACGCAAGCGGTTTGATCAAACATCAACATGGCGGCCAGAAAATCAAAAAATTTTGATTTTTGCTCAAATTTCCCTCAAGCGGTTTGTCAAACCTTCAAACACCCCCATACACAGCACAAATGGCTTGAAGCAAAGGGAAATTTCGCTTGGTTTGTCAAACCGCTTGTGTGGTGTATTTCGCTCTTAACAGTGAAACAATTTCATAATTCACATTAAAAATATCTATACTATTAAAAGTATGTATACTATTTCTAGTAAAAGTTTTTATTCATATTTAAATTGCTCTGCCTGTTATTTTTATTAATTGGATGTGGGGTTCCATAAAATGAAATGTGGTTAGTAAGGGTTGCATCATTTTAAGTTTAAGAACCCCTGATCTAGATAACCAACCGTTCAGCTATGGAAAACAAAAATGTAGATGGATAGTACTATTTACGCTGATTTCAATGATATAAATATTCAGCCTTATTATGAGTTTAATTTTCCCCGAACCGGTTCACTTTTTACTTTTCGTTTCCATGTATTTACTAAGAGCGGATGAAAAATTTTCGGGTGAATTTTTTTTTTCGGCCGAAATTAGGCATAAGGCCGATTATTCGCAATTGAAAACTAAAGATATAAAAGGTTAAAATAAAATTGTTCGATATTTTAAAATATTAATTTTTTTTAACTACATAATCGATAAGGACAATTATTTTATCTTTCAGTGGATATATAAAATGTAAATGCAAGATTATATATTTAAGCCAAAAATATTAAATAACAAAGAGTTTGTAAATTTTATTGTGGCTTATTAATATTTTATTTCAATATTGTTATTGAGCTTTTTACGGCGATTATTTTTATTAGGAAAATGGAAAAAGCAACAAAGTCTAAGCGGCAGAAGTTACGGCAGTCCACGAACTGACGGACGAAGTCCAGAGGTTCATTAAGCAACCTCTGGACGCGTCAGCATACCGACAGGCCCTGAACGGCATTCACAGGGAGTCAGTCTCGAGTTATGTAGTCTCCAGACCTGTGAATGCCGTTCTAGGCGCACAACCACCGGACATAGACGAGACGGAGCTGCATCTGCCTCGGGAGACAAGAACCACAATAGCCCAACTTCGCTCTGGCTACTGCATAGGGATGCAAATTTTGAGCAGTAACATCGATACATCGAT